AACGAAAAATAAGCTATGATTTGTGAATGGAACTGTGCTGAAACCTAGTATTGAAGATGCTAGTTATGAGCAATGGCTTAGGGTTAATGACACGGTTGTTTCATGGATTCTTAATTCAATAGCTCCAAAAATTGCTGATGATTTTAATATGGTCGATACGGCATTAGAACTGTGGGAAGAAATTAGAGATCGATTTGGTACTAGTAATGGTCCACAAGTGTACAGATTAAGGCGGGAAGTAGCAACCATAGCTCAGGGAAATCTTACTTTGGCTGCATACTATTCTAAACTCAAGAGATTGTGGGATGAGCTCAATCATGTAGATCCTGTTGATGTTTGTGCCTGCAATGGTTGCACTTGTGGTTTCACTAAAAGTGGAGGCAGAGAAAATCGACACAAGCTAATGCAATTTTTGAGTGGTTTCAACGAATCATACACAGCTAACAGAGATCACTAAAAGTGAAGAAAGCATATTCCATGGCTCTTAATGTGGAGAAACAGCAGGTTGTCAACAAGATGTATGATGCACCTGTTAATCAAAGTGCACTTATGGTATCCAAAACTCTTTTTAAGTCAGCCAATTCTGGATCAAGGGATAACTCAGGTGGATTCAGGAAGAACAATTACAACACATACACAGGAAAGGAGAACAATATGAAGTTAGACAAAGCAGCAAAGAAGCTTCTGAAATGTGACAATTGTGGCATGACTGGACATTTGAGGACTGGGTGTTTCAAACTTATTGGGTATCCTGATTGGTAGGAAGGCAACTTGGAAGCAAAGAGGAACTCTCAGAACAAATATTCAGCCAACCTGGTGGATATTTCAGATGGTTCAGTATTCACTACAACTCCAAACACCAACAGCCCTGATGAGCATATAATGATGATGAAGAATATGCAGAACATGCAATCATCAAGGGAAAGCAGCCAATGCAGATGGATGCAGAACATGTGAACTTTAGTCATTATCATGACTTTGTAGGTGTGAGCAATTTCAAGGCCTTAAATACTCTTGTTTTAGCTGAATGTGAATTATTGTCATTATGGTTTCTAGACACAGGAGCATCTGGTACTATGAGTCCTCATTTACATTTTTTTTTTTTGATCATAAACCTGTTAGCAAATACACCCTGGTATCCTTACCTGATGGCAATGTCAAAAGAGTAGCACATAAAGGATCTCTTATATTGTCGAATAGCCTAGAAATTGATGATTGTCTTCATGTCTCGGCTTTTAAATACAATCTACTTTCTGTAAACAAACTTGTTTCTTCCTCTCATATAGACTGTCTGTTCTCTACTACTTTCTGTGTCTTACAGGACCAAACGACTAAGAAGGTAGTAGCCGTTGGCAAAGTTCTTCGAAGTCTATATGTTCTTGATTCAGCCTCTTTCAAATTCGAGACTATCAGTTCCTTTCTTCACAGTCATGTACTTCATACTTACACACCAGCATCACACACATCTTCTGTCAATCATCAAATCAATCTTGCAGCTGTTCAGATCCTAAATTGTGGCATCTTAGGCTTGGTCATGTACCAGACTTAGTGTTGCGCAAGTTAGGTTTTCATTCTTTCAATAATATAACTTCCAAAGTTTGTGATGTATGCCCCTTGGCAAAACAACACAGGAATGTTTTTCCTATAAATTCTGTAAATACAATCAAACCTTTTGAGCTTGTCCATGTAGACATCTGGGGGCCTTATCAGCCACACTTATAATGGTGCTTCTTATTTCCTTACTTTGGTAGATGATTTTACTCGTTGTACCTGGACATATCTTTTGAATACAAAAGCTCAGTCTGTTTTGATTCTCTCTAATTTCCTAAGAATGATACAAACTCAATATGAAATTGCTGTTAAAATTGTCAGAACTGACAATGGTACAGAATTCACAAGCACAGATTGTCAATCTTTGTTTGCATCATTAGGCATTATACATCATAAAACCACTCCCTACACACCACAAAAAAACAGTGTTGTAGAAAAAAAGCATAAACACCTTCTCCAAATAGCCAGGGCACTTCTTTTTCAGTCAGGGCTTCCGAAAAATTCTAGGGGGACACTGTTCTTACAGCCACATACTTAATAAATAGGTTACCCTCAGCAGTCTTAAACTGGAAGAGTCCATATGAAATGCTTCATCACAAATCTCCCAATCTAAATTATCTCAAAGTTTTCGGATGTTTGTGTTATGCTACAAACATCATTCCTCATAAAGAAACATTTGCACCAAGGGCAATTAAAGCTGCCTTTATAGGATATCCTCCGGGTCAAAAAGCATATAAGTTGTATGATTTGAGTACACATAAAGGATTTCTTTCCAGGGATGTGATCTTCATGAAGACACATTTCCTTTCCAGAATTCAATTTCATCAGATTTCATTCAGGCAGTATCTTCTTCTGATGAGATAAATGATTGGTTTGATTATTCATATCCCTCTGTGACACCAGTAGATGATCTTCCTTCTTTTTCTTCGCCTTCTAATCATATATCCACTCCTATACCTCATTCATCCTCTACAGCATCTTCCTCATCATCACCATCTTTGTTCACTTCAACATCTCATCAAACTCCTTTGCCAGTGCTAAGAAGAAGCACTAGAGTCAAAACCAATTCTGCTTGGATGCAGGATTTTGAAATACCAAAAGCACATCTGGTAACTCAAACACCAGCCATTCCTCCTTCTAGCTCATCACATACACCTCCCATATTTCCTTTCTATCAAGTACCAGGTTTTGCTCCTGAATATCTCTCTTTTTTAGCAAAGATTGATAGTGTTAAAGAACCTAGAATATATTCACAAGCTAAAACAGATCCAGTATGGGTTGAGGCAATGCAGCAGGAGTTAGATGCTTTGATCTCTAATGAAACTTGGAGCTTGACTTCTTTACCTCCTAGAAAGCAACCCATTGGATGTAAATGGGTGTATAAAGTCAAACACAACTCTGATGGTATTCTAGACAGGTACAAGGCGAGACTAGTCGCAAAGGGTTTTAGCCAGGTTGAGGGGGAGGATTATTATGATAGTTTTTCCTCTGTTGCAAAGGTAGTAACAGTTAGACTGCTTCTAGCAATTACAGCTTCAAAATAGTGGTTCTTACATCAGTTAGACGTTAATAATGCTTTTTTACATGGATTTATGGATGAAGAAGTATACATGGTTCCTCCTGAAGGGTTTGCAGTAGCTCCAAATCAGTTTTGTAAGCTGTGAAAATCGTTGTATGGTCTTAAACAGGCATAAGGCAGTGGAATGTAGAATTCACTGCAAAAGTTCAGTCTCTTGGTTTTAAGCGATCTTCAAATGATCCTTGTCTCTTCACTGGTCAGGTTGCAGGATCATTCTTGGCTTTAGTGGTTTATGTTGACGACATTCTGATAGCAGGCGAGAAAGAAGAAGCAATACAGTTGGTCAAGACTTTTCTTCATCCACAGTTCACCATTAAAGATTTGGGACCAGCCAAGTATTTTTTGGGCATTGAAATTGCCAGGTCAGCTGATGGCATCTATATCAACCAACGAAAATATGTTCTGGACATCTTGACCAACACCGACATGCTGGGTTGTAAACCGGCTACAACTTCACTTCCCAAGGGTCATCAGTTTACAAATGATCCTGGTTCACCTCTCACAGATGCTTCTGTTTACAGACAGGTGGTTGGCCAACTGCTTTACCTTGCTTTCACCAGGCCTGATCTCACCTTTGCTGTTCAACAGCTTAGCAAACATGTCCAGAAGCCATGTCAGGACCATTGGGCAGCAGCCCAACATGTTCTCAGGTACCTGAAAAACTGTCCTTCTAAGGGTCTCTTTTACTCTGTAAATGCTGCTTTTCATGTTGAGGCCTTTAGTGATGCTGATTGGGGATCAAATCCCATTGATCGTCGGGCAGTCAGTGGATTTTGTGTGTTTCTTGGAACTTCCCTCATCTCTTGGAAAACCAAACAACAACACAACATTTCCTGCTCTTTTCCAGAAGCTGAATACAGGTCATTGAGTCATACTACTAGGGAGCTTCTTTGGATATCTTATCTCCTCTCTGACTTTGGAATTCAGTTTTCTTCTCCGATTCCCTTGTCATGTGATAGTCAGTCCGCTATTTACATCACAGAGAATCCAGTGTTTCATGAACGTACGAAACATTTGGAGATTGATTGTCATTTAGTTAGACATCATTATCTTCAAGGGTTTCTCGTTCCTTTGTTTGTTGGTTCTAAGAATCAAATTGCCGATGTGTTCACCAAATCCCTGCCTTATCCCCTGTTTGCAGCATTGTTATCCAAGCTTGGCATGTTAGATTTTCTCCATGCTGAGCTTGAGGGGGGATGTAAATGTTGTAAATATAGTGTAGCATTTACTGTTTTAATTTGTGTATATGAAGAGTAGTAGTTATGAGTAGGGATTAGTTTGCATAGTCTGTAAAGCCTAGGGGTCTTGTGTAAATACTATAGTTATAGGAGGTTAAATATTGTACAGCTGTATGTTAATGTATTAGAGTGTACAGAACATTTTTTTCCCAATTTAAAATAGAAATTCAGTTTTATCAAATCCTCTCAAAACTAGGAAATGCTCTCTAAATCTCAACTTCGTAGATCATCTCTAGGATAACACTATCTGATGTTGTAAGTTTGTTGCCGCTATCTTCTCAATTGGTTTGGTAGAACAGACCTTGAAACTTTGTTATCCGGACTCTTCCATTTGGGGAGAATATCCGTGTCATATGGGTATGAGTACTGGGTGTGGCATTTTAGCCTAAAATGTCCAAAATTTCTAAAATATTAACGAGTCGGACACTCAGATCCCCGCTTTAGATACGACACCGTATCCAAGTCCAGGTAACATAGCCTTGAAAAGGAGCTGAGTTCTCCGGTTATTCTTTGCATTGACCATGAACTCAATGACAGAGAGGATGTTCTGCCCAACTTCTTCGCCGAGATTCAGGAAATCTTGGCAGAGGTTGCCTTTTCCAATTATAGTCTTCAAAGAGATCTAGTAGCAGATGGCGAACCAAGATCCAATGGACCAAGAAACTCTAGAGCTTGCTGCGGAAAAAGAAAGAAATCTAGTGGCTAGATTGCCTCCTTGTTCCGAGTTGCTAGCAAAAATTTGTATTCTAAAGGCAGAGTTTTTCCTCAAACAGCAACTCAACAACCACAATGCCTCGATGCCAAGTTATGACGGCTTCATCAAAGTCGATATGATCCTCAGTGTCCTGGGAGCATTCAAAGATCAGTGTCAGCCAGGGAACAAAGAACTTGTGAAGCGGACTTTGGTACTCGCTGAAGAATTGGCTAATGAGATAAAATCCCTTGATAATACCAAGAAGATAACTATGTTTCTGGGAAAACATTCACTTTTGCTGTGGCTTTTAAGGATCGTCTCTTTCAAGTCTGAATCATCTTTAGCAGAGTTATTGAAGAGTAGGGGTTCTTCCATAACTCATATGATGGATCATATTCAGCACCTTGTAAAGGAGCTTACATATTTCAAAGGCATTTTTTACAAACTAAGCTGCAAGTAATCCATCAGATGATGAAACAGTTCTCATACAACTTGAAGATGTTGCTAGGGAGATTACACTTCTCTCTTACTCTCATCTCCCTGCAAAGAAGAAGTTCGAGAAAATTGTCCATTCATTGCCTCCATTGTTGGATAAGGTGAACAATATCAAAGCTAAGCTCCCGAAAATAAGTCAGTATTTAGCAAAGTCCATCTTTCCCAAGATCTTTGATCTGGCTTTCTTTGATTTCCTATGCAGAAACATAAGTAAGCTTCTGAAACATGATCTTGAATCAATGACACCAGTGAAGCATCACATTGTGGAAGTTGTGATTTATCTAAAGTTATTCAAATCTTTCCTTGTGCAAGTAAAAGATCCAGATATCGAGCTGGAGGAAATGACGGATCTCGCCAAACAAATCATAGATGCCGCATACAAACTAGAGTACGATGTTGAGACGCTTAAGGTAGATGGTCGCTCGCGGGAATCTCTATTGTTGCACGATGTGCTGAAGGATATTAAACTTGTTGATCAACAGGTCCAGAGAATCCATAAGATGTCCTTTCCTAGGGAAATAGAAAAAACCATCTCACAGAGTTCCACTCGGATGGTGTCAAGAGATACTACTCTAAGAAATCAATGAAACTCTGGTTGATCTTGTTGATGAAGAAAATATATTAGTTGATCACCTAACCAGAGGATCCTCACAGCTAGATGTTGTTTCGATAGTTGGCATGGCTGGTATTGGTAAGTCAATTCTTGCTTGAAAAGTCTACAGCAATCCAAATGTCGTGTATCATTTTCGCCGGCGTGCATGGTGTCCTGTTTCACAAGCATACTCGGAATGGGAATTGTTGCTTGAAATATTAACTCATATTGATGTGCTTACTAACGGCATCGGTAAACTGAGTGATGAAGACCTCATGTCCAAATTACGTCGGATACCTGTTAAAAAACAAGCATTTTATTGTTATGGATGACACATGGGATGATGTAGCTTGGCACAATTTGGAAACTTGTTTTCCGAATAACAGTAACAGGAGTAGAATTCTGGTAACCAGTCATCTCCAGAATGTGGCCTCAAAAATTAAACCCGAAAATCGTCAACATCTTATCCGTCCATTTTCTGATTTTTAAAGTTGGCAGTTGTTAGAAATTAAGATATTTAAAGGCGCTTACTGTCCAGAAGAATTGTTGGAAGTTGGGATGGAAATAGCTCAACAATGTCAAGGATTACCACTAGCAGTTGTCACGATGGCTGGTCTCCTGGAGATATCAGAAAGGAGCAAGGAATCATGGATAGATGTCTTGAAAGCTTAAAAAAATGAATGATGTTGAATGATATGCAATCTGTGATCAGGGATTTTAGACTAAGTTTGTAGTACCATCTGTTGCTGAAAGCGAGTTCATTGCATATCATTCAACCTCATTCATATATTTTTTTTTTGGAGATTGTTGCACCTATACTAGGTAGTATATGATGTTGATACTGCACCGACACTAGATAGTAGATTTAATTCAATTATTTTTGGACATATGACTTGATGTATTGATTCAAGCCTGCGATAGAGAGTCGCGGCAACATTTCGGGCTTTTTTCCAAAAATAATTAAATAAAATAAACGTGGACAAATTTAAATTTTTCAGAATATTTGTGGACAGAATTATATTGCTCGGATTTCTGAAATCCGAGTTTCGATTAAAATTAGAGATTCGGATTTTGCAAATCCGGATTTATACTTAATAATTTCATAAATTTTGTTGAATAATAGTTTTTTTAAAATTCTTAAATGAACAGTAAAGCTCGGATTTGTAGAATCCGAGTTTAGTTAAAAATTAATAAATCGCGGCGCGAAATTTTTGAATCCAAAAAACCGGAAGTCCGTAATCCGGTTTCACGAATTCAGATTTTAGAAATCCGCCTGCCTTTAATTTTGGTTGGTGGAAGTAGGCATGTGCCTTAAATTGGAGGACTAAAAAATTAATAAAATAATCCTCAATTGACTAAATCCGGATTTATGAAATCCGAATCAACGTAGTTCGGATTTCGAAAATCCGAGTTACTTACGGACTCGGATTTTGTAAATCCGAGTTTAACGTGCTATAAAAGAAAAACAATTTCAGGCAGTTCTTATTCGAGAACTGAGTTGGATTTTCTGTTTTTGCAGCTCAAACAAGGGCGAATTGAAGTTTTTGATGCATTCTTGCCTCTAGATACGTGGAAATCGTTATTTGAAAGAGGTTAGATTGCAAAACCATGTTATTTAGTTTATTTTTGTGTTATTTTGATTGTTAGAATGATGTATGATAGATTAGGGTTTATGTTGGTTGGTTGTTTGGATGTGTTTAGGTGTTGATTTTGAGGTTAGAGATGAGAAATCATAGTTGTTCATGAGATATCGAAGTTGATTTATAAGTATTTTAGTATGGTATATTTGTTGGAGTATGTATCGTGTATGGTGTATGGTGTATTTTAGAGAATGTATGGTGTATTTTGTTGATTTTGTTATTAAGAAATGATTAGTTATTGATGGTTTTTTTAACAATTATCAATGGCACGTAATGTATCATACATGCTTAATTTGTATCATACAAGTAAGTATGTGATAGAGAACGGTAGCATCAACACTTTTTCGAATATGCCGGATGATGGTTTGTTTGTCGAAGAAAGGTTGTCATATGAGGGATTGATTAGTAAGATTTGTATGACCCTTGGTTGGGATCCAGCACACGTGAAACTCCACCTTTCTTTGATTTTCGATAGTCCCGGTGGTAGGCGTGTAGTGAAGATCAAGAATGATTCGCATGTAGAGTTCATGAACCGTGTAGATCCAATGTCATGTTTGGATTTATACATAGATTTGGAAGATATCACTTAAGAAGAAAGAGAAGCGAGTTTGGAAAACGTGTCATTTGGTGGTTTTCGAAGGGAGGAACGTGCTAGTACTTCTCGAAACCGTGATGAAGAGGAGACACCTTCATTTGCACAAAATGACTACCGGGAAGAGTTGGATTCCGACTACATAGCTCCAAATAAAAGCGAAGAAGACTGTGATGTCTCCGGAGAGAGTGATTTTGAAGAAAGTGATGATGAAAGGTTGGAAAATGAGGAAAGGGATTGTAATCTATTCGCCCGACGCCATGTATATAGTAAGATGGGGAACTGGGATGCCTCATGTGTAGACAAGGATGAGTTTGCTCTTAAGATGTGGAATGAGACGCCCGAAGGAATGGACATTGGTGTTTGTTTCAAATCTCAATCGGAAGCAAAGCATGCTGTCAAATTATGGAACATCCATCATAAAAGGGAATATACGGTCGCTGCGAGTAGTCCAAGGACGTGGGCTGTGCGGTGCAGAACATTTAATGTGGAAAGTGAGGATGGTGAACCACCATGTGAGTGGAAGATGCGTGTGTCATTGAAAGCTCACGGCCTTCATGAAATTGTGAGATGGCATGATGCACATAATTGCATGACTCCTGTGAATGATAATGACAATCGGTGTGTGGACGCGTCTTTGATTGCTAGACTCATCGGAGAAAGGTTGAGGACAACGTAGATTATACGGTAGCCCTCGGCACAGAAAGATGTGAAGACCTTATTGAAAGTAGATGTGCCATACAAAAGGGCGTGGCACGGGAGGAGGAAAGCCATAGAAGCGGTCTATGGTGATTGGACCTCCAATTCGAAGAACTTCCACGGTAAATATCAACTTTTATCCGTGTATTGAAATATTTATAGTATTTTTATTTTTACCTGTATTGAAATATTTTAACAATGACTTGTTGTTGTTTAGGTATATCGCTGCGCTTAAGTTTACTAATCCTGAGACTGTAGTAGAGTGGGAATGGAAGGAGGGACAAGAAGGTTGGAACAGGGGAAACCGGACATTTAAATACGTCTTCTGGTCATTTGCACCGGTGGCTGAGACGTTTTTTGAATGTCCATCGGTCATTTGTATCGATGGAACCTTTTTGCGTGGTGGATACAAGGGTAAATTGCTTGTTGCGGTGGTGTATACCGCAAACAAGCACATTTTACCGGTTGCATTTGCGATTGTTGATGAGGAGACAGAGAGAGTTGGACATTTTTATGAGGAATTTGAGGTTGTGGGTTGTGTATGATAGAATCGTAAGTGTGATATCCGACCGGAATGCAGGGTTGTTGAGCGCAATGTCACAGATGGATGAATGGCGTGATTTAGGTGATGGTGGGCACTTTCTTTGCCTCCGCCACGTTCGCAGCAATCTTGTGTCGCGATATAATAGCAAAAAGGTGAAGCGGTTATGTTGGAAGATGGGCACGACGCTTTCAAGAGTGAAATACAACCGTATGAGGGCAGAGCTTATTGAATTCAAACCTGCTGCATGGGAGTATCTTCGGGGGATTGGAGGGAGTAACTGGGCTCGATTGAAAGCCACTCTTCGCCGTTGGGGGATAGCGACAACCAACATTTCTGAGAGTTACAACAATGCGTTGAAAGGGATCCGTTTTTTACCAACAGGATACCGGACATTAAAACATTCTGCCTCAAGGGCCGTAGGTACGACAGCGATTTTTGGGCGTTATATAAAAATACGGCACCGGAGGTTAAGGAAGTCATTAGGAGAGCCGGTTTTGAGGGGATCATGAAGGTAGGGTACAAAAGAGTTGATCTAGGCCTCATTACCGCGTTGGTGGAACGGTGGAGGCCAGAAACCCACACTTTCCATTTTAATTTCGGAGAGGCGACGGTGACGCTACAGGACGTCGAGGTCCTGTTTGGTATTCGGGTGGATGGTGACCCGGTGTACGGGACGACAGTTAGCCGGACTGCAGATGAATGGAGGGATCGATGTGAGGCTTATTTGGGATTCCGGCCGGCGACTGTAAATGGCCAATGTGTTAATGTTGGTATTTTCGAAGATGAGATGGGCCGTGCACTACCTGAAAATTCCACTGTCCATCGATTCGAGCAAAGGGCCAGGACACTTACACTGCATTTTATTAGCAGTTTCATGTTTCCGAACAAGACGCAGAACACTGTCAATCTACAGTTCTTGGCCCAGGTTGAGGATTTGGATCAGTGTAGTCGATACAGTTGGAGATCGGCACTGCTGGCTGGGTTGTACTCTGGACTATGCGAGGCATCACAGTATACCATGAACGACGCCACTGGGTGTCTATATTTGCTACAGGTACGTATTAGTTTTCATTTTGTGTTTTAATTATTTTGCACTTTCGACGTTATAATTTGAAGTTTTTACATTATTATTGCAATTTACTAGGTATGGGCGTATGAGCGGATCGAGAGGATCACGCCCCAAAGAAAAGGAGTAGATTATTTGATTGATGAGACCGCTCCATTAGCTCAGCGGTACGTATTTTCAGTTCAAAATAACTCAACATTTAATTCTATTTGTTTCTTATTCATTTATTTCACTAATTCAAATGTACCCCTTTGTTTATTAAGGTGGGAATGTAGGTACACGTACGGCGACGCCCCAAGGAGCAGCACTCCACCTTTTAGAGATCAATTAACAAATCTGCGTGTTAAAGATGTAAGTACTTGTAATTTGGTATTTATATTTACTTTGAGATCAATTACCCCTTTCTTTTGGTTTCGGTTGTACCATCTAATGAAATTTTTTTCGTGCAGTTTCGGTGGCAACCATATGCACATGTCCTCCATAGACTCCCTGATTTCTGTACACAAGGCCAAGCCATTTGGACGACTAGGTGTTGGATGTTCTGTTGGGCTATTAGGGAACCCCACGAGTCGGGCAGAGTCGTACGACAATTTGGATACATACAGGATGTTCCCAAGCACCCCATGATTAAAGATAACGCAGCATTCCTTCTCGATCACGCCCACAGTATGTCTGGGTATCCTAGCAATAATTGGGAGGATCACCATTCCGCAGTACGCCGTCATTGGAATAGGAGAGAAGAGTTCGTGCTACGAGATTTGGAGGAAGGAGATCCTAGTTCCGTATATGAGGGGTACTATGAATGGTTCATGGTGAACACTGTCAGACTGATATCCAATCCCGGTAATTATGAACCTCAAGGATACGAGACTTCTTCGAGCCGCGTGAAATTATATGTGAGTTAATTCTAGATTTCTTTTATTATTTCTTATGTTTTCATTTTTTTTTTATTTTTTATTTTTTTAGAACTTTACTCTCTTAATTAACGTCCCAATTTCTTTTCAGGGTGAAGTATTGAACAACATTCGCGTGAGTACTGAGAGGTTTAGAGAAAAACAAGAAGATGATAATCTCCTAGACGAAGAACTTGACAAACATTTGGACGATATCATCAATCAAATGATGAGATGGAGGTGGATGATACCCAAATCCTGGTTGATGAAGATCCATTTTTGCGCTCACAACCTCCGCCGGGTAAAAAAGCGAAACCGTGGTCAAGAGATAAGATTGGAGGAGGAAGAAAGAGAAAGGTCACAATCCCCCCTCGGACATCGCAACAACAAACTGAGGGTCAACAAAATGAGGATCAAGCACATTCCTCTCGAGGCTCGTGCATCCAGGTCGAGAATCATTTTGAAGAAGCTGGTGGACCCGAGACTCAGTTTGACCTTGGTGGACCTGAGACTCAGTTTGGTGGACAGTCGCAACCACAACCGGGAGTCAAATTTATCACCATGGGGGAGTCCCAATCTCAACCCCAAATCGAGGCTCAGTTTGGTGGATAGTCGCAACCACAACAAAGTTCAATACTCACGTATCTTAAGAGGGGAGACAGGATCCGACAGGGCCCAAACAAATACACTCCGGATGCACACAATAAAGGAAAAGGGAAAAAATGAGACATTTCATTATTTTGGACATTTATAGTAGTTTTTGTATTGAACTTTTTATGAAACTTGATTTATTTTGTTGTTAATCGAATGCCGTTTATTGTTTTGTTGTTATTAAATTCCTGTTTTCCAATGTTTCATTGTTGTTGGTGCTGTAAACATGTTTAGGACTGGTGAAAATCAGTCTAATTTTTTTTTTCAGTTCTGACAAAGACTCGGATTTGCAAAATCCGAACCCAGACTTTTTGTAAAGGATTCGGATTTCGGAAATCCGAGTCCGTGGCCAACTGAGAGTCACTATTTTTCAGAAAACAGAGCAGATTCGGATTTCGGTAATCCGAATTCTGCCCAAATTTAATTTTTCAACACATTCTTTTTTCTCTATCCGGAAATTAATATTTTATTCATAGAAACGGATTTATAAAATCCGGATTTAGATTAATTACACTAATTTTTGTCATTAACTTAATATCGGATTTACGTAACACAAAGTCGGATTTTAATAATCCGAGTTGATTAGGGGTCGGATTTCCGAAATCCGAGTTTTGCCCCCATTCGGATTTCCTAAATCCGGGGCATATAAATTTGTCCACAAGATTTTAAAAAGCTTTATTTTTGTCCAGGTTTTTTTTTCATATATATTTGAGGAAAAAATTCCAACATTTCCTACAAGGCAAAGTTTTACTGAAATGATTTTTCCTCCAAGTTCAGCTTTATGCTGTTCATTTCATATCCTTTCAGCTGATAATGAAAAAACACAGGTCAAGGAACTATATGAACTAATTAAGAAATTAGTCCTTGCATAAGTAACCAAAAAGAACGCGAAGAAGTGGAATATTTTTAACCAGAATGATAACCAAATCCAGATGAAAAAGCCATGCTCATCGTCACTGGTTTCCTTAGCATTCTGCTTATTCTGTGATGCATGCATTTGAATTTCACAATGGCCAAAACAAAAGAATATTTCTGACAATGCATCAACCTTTTTCAGTGGGTGCCTTTTGATCATTTTTTCTTCGTTCATTTGCAGATCCAGGAATGCCATTGATGGTGAAAATGGATAAACCTGACCGTGTCTTTAGTCTCTGAATCATTTGACTTCTGCTTTCATTGGCGAGGAAAATTGAGAAGGCCATGGGATTTGTGTCATTGGTACCGATGGTTATGATCATTGGCTCAGAAGACAAACTTGAAACTTTTCAACGGATGCAATGTTTTGGCGCAATTTTGGATAAGAAATTCAGATTTGTCAAACTGAAACTCAAAATTTTATTTTATCAGCTAGTAGTTGTTGTATTAGGGGACACTGGATCATAAAAATCTTGTAGCATTTCTGCTGTTTTCATAAAGATGAGATTCATTAATCTTCTCTGTTTTCATTGTCTTTCAAGAATAAACCCTGTGATTCTCAAACACATTGCTTAATTCTTCTCATCAATTCGAGTCTGTTTTTCCTCCGTAGCAACCACCACATGGGAACACAAGAAATATTGTCCATTGTTCTTCATTAGTCTTAAATTATGTTTTCTGTCATTTCTTATCCAGTCACTAATTAAGTATAACAGACAGATAGCTGATAGGTCTTCAAGACAGCTTGAACAGAATAAAATGTGTTTAACCAAGCCATATTCATTTGATTTGACTCTTTTGAGACTATGATATACTCGGTTGCTTTTCAGAATGCTGAAAGTATGACTTTTTTATATTCAACTTCTCCATATTCTTTTCTTTTTGTTTTTAATTTCAACTAGTTTGAAAATTTCAAGATTCTGAGAGTTGATTCAAGATTCAAAAGCATGGAGGAAGTTGCAGAGATTACTTGATGGAGATAGTTAACAGAATCCTGGTGAAACATCTACAAAACAAGATTCAATGGAAAGGCCCAAAACATGTCCATCTTCTTGATCTGTTACGTTATCTTTGTCATATCAAAACAAAAGAAAACTTCCTGGAACTGGTGACGAGGCATGAATATGATTATGACCCTTTTCGCGTCCTTCTATGGTTCAGATTTCAGAGTATGGTATAGAGATTGAGAGTTCTTAACTCGGTGTGGCTGAAGATTATTAAAGATTCTGCAAGAATCAATCATACAAATGGAGTATTGAGCAAGAAGAAGAAAACTTGGAAAACCGACCTTTTGGATAAACTTCTTTTCTGTATTTTTCTTATCATTACTGTATGTTTCTTTACATGTATATATGCATTTCTTCTAAGCCGAATTCCTAACTATTTACAGAGAGAAAGAAAACACTCCCAATCTCATCCGTTGATTCTATACAACCGACTTAGTGAACAAACTAAATCAACGTCCAAGATTCAAGGGACTTTAAAATCTGCGTATTGCTGACATGGCTTGCCACTCCTTCTAGATGGATTAACTTCGGTTGCTGCTGCTACTTTTGTTGATGAACCAGACGCTGATGAAGAAACAGACGTTGATGAAGAAACAGATGTTGATGAAGCAGATGAATAATCCAATACCCCCTCCTCAAGTGGAGCATCCCATAGGCTCAACTTGGACAATATGTAATTAAAAGCAGAAGCAGGAAGAGATTTGGTAAAAATATCAGCTAATTCTTGGGAGGAACTAACGTGATGCGGCAATATAAAACCATCCTTGAATTTGTCTCTTACCACATGACAATCGATCTCGATGTGTTTAGTCCGTTCATGAAACACAGGGTTTGCTGTAATATCAATGGCTGCTTGACTGTCACACAGAACAGGGATAGGAAGTTGTAGAGGAACCTGAAAGTCATGCAGCATGTATGTGATCCACTGAAGTTCCCTAACTGTAGAAGCCATCGCTCTGTATTCGGCCTCTGCTGAGGAACAAGAAATGGTAGATTGCTTCTTGGCTTTCCAAGATATAAGACTGCTACCCAGAAAGATACAATACCCTGTGATGGAATGCCGTGAAATACGACAATTGCCCCAATCTGCATCACTATAGGCGATGAGAGATGAAGAAGTGTGACTGGAATAAAACAAACCTCTGGAAGGACAACCTGACAGATATTTCAGAAGATGAACTGTTGCACTCCAATGTGAATCATGAGGTTTATGAACAAACTGACTAAGTTGTTGGACTGAATAGGTGAGATCTGGTCTTGTGTAGTTCAGGTACAACAAACGACCAACCAATCTCCTGTACTTCTCTAGATTGTGATACAAAGGAGTTTCATCTTTATCTTCTGAGACAAATTTTATCTCCCTTGGTAAAGGTGTAGTAGTAGCAACACAATCCAGCATGCCTGTATCTTGAAGAAGATCAGTAACATATTTCTTTTGACTTAGATATATACCAGATGTGGAGCGTGCTATCTCCATTCCCAAGAAATATCTGGCCATTCCAAGATCTTTAATACTGAAAGCAGCATCAAGAAAATGCTTTACCTTTTGTATTTCAGTATCAGAAGTTCCTGTAATTAAGACATCATCCACATATACAAGTAGAAACAACTGATGCTGAGGATGTTGTAAAGTAAACAAACAATGATCATGATATGACTGAGTAAATCCATAATCATGCAGTTTGGAGGTGAATTCTTTATTCCATTGTCTACTGGCTTGTTTCAGTCTATAGAGTGATTTTTCCAACAAACAGACTTGACCCTTCTTAGCCTTATCATAACCAAGTGGTGGATGCATATACACTTTTTCATCAAGAATGCCATGCAAGAAGGCATTGTTAACATCTAGCTGAAACACTGACCAATTTCTGATAGCTGCAAAAGCAAACAAGATCCGAACAGTAACTACCTTAGCTACTGGGGAGAAGATTTCAGTAAAATCTTCGCCTTCTACTTGTGTATAACCATTAGCTACTAGTCGAGCTTTGTAACGCTCAACAGAGCCATCTGGATTACACTTCACCTTATACACCCACTTAGAACCTACTGCTTTCTTTCCTGCTGGCAAAGTAGTTAATTTCCAAGTACCATTATCTTCAAGTGCCTTTAGTTCCAAGTTCATTGCTTCTACCCACTTCATGTTTGTTCTAGCCTGATTATAGTGTCTAGGTTCATGTATAACAGACAAGTTTGCTACAAAATCATTATATGCATGACTAAAAATGCAAGTGTTGTCAGAAGGAGGAAAAACAGATGAGTTGGATTCACACTGAAAGGTATAAAAATCATCCATCCAGGCAGGTGTTTGAATATTTCTGGTACTTCTTCTTAATGGAGGAGGAGAAGGAACAAAATGATCTATGGTTGGTAAATGAGAGTTTGTATGGGAGGAAAAATCTGGATGAACAGAATGTGGATTTTCATATTCATGAAGTGGTGGATCTTCACAAGGAATACTCACAACAGGTAGAGGGATAGCATTACTGACTTCTGAAATAGAGGGAAATGTGGTTTCATGAAATATCACATCCCTGGACACAATGGTTTTGTTTAGGCTAGGACAATAAATCTTGTAACCCTTTTGCCCCGGGGGATATCCAACAGAAATCCCTTTAAAAGTCCTAGGATCAAACTTATCTCTACCTGGTCCATTATTTACTGCAAAACACAGACAACCAAAATTCCTAAGTGTAGAAAGATCAGGCTGTTTGTGATACAGTCTCTCAAAGGGACTTTGCCAATTCAGTGATTTGGAAGGCCATCTGTTTATCAAATATGTGACAGTAAGAATGGAATCCCCCCAAAACCTCTTAGGTAACTTGGATTGTAGCAGTAAAGATCTTGCAACATCCAGTAAATGCCTATGTTTTCTTTCCACAATTCCATTTTGCTGTGGGGAGTATGGACAACTTCTTTGATGAAGAATGCCCTTTTGGTCAAAAATACTGAACAGGTTTGATTTAAAAACTCGGTTCCATTATCAGTCCTGACGATCTTGATAATGGTTTGGAATTGTGTACAAACCATATGATAAAAGCTTTCAATTAAGGCTGGTACTTGACTTTTATGTTGAAAAAGGAAAGTCCAAGTACATCTGGAATGATCATCCACTATGGTTAGGAAATAATGACAATTGGTATTGGTTGCTTGATGAAATGGTCCCCAAACATCCATATGAACAAGCTCAAAACAATGAGAACTCATAGAAGTACTGACAGGAAAGGGCAATCTGGTTTGCTTAGAAAGGGAACATATTTCACATTGATAATCCTTTAATGTCTTATCAAAAGAAACGTTATAATTATTCAAATGCTGTATTACATCAGCTGAAGGATGACCTAATCTGGAATGTATCATTTTTAAAGGAACAAAAGATGAATAAGAATTACAACTCTGATCAAGGGTTTTATGACTAACAAGAGTACTAAGATGTGACATATAAACTGCATACATCTCCTGAGACTTTGAAATAGCTTTAGTGGTAAAGGAAAACGAGTCCAGAACATAGAGCTCTTTGATGATTCTTCCTGCTGCAAGGACCTTGCCAGTTTTAAGGTCCTGCAGAAGACAGAAATCAGCAAGGAATTTAAAGAACAAGTTTGAGGTTTTTGTCAGTTTCCAGACTGAAAGTAGATTGTACTTGAAACTAGGTAGGTGCAAACATGATGTCAGAGTGACAGATTCAGAGATTGTAATATCTCCAAAATGAGTAACTGGTTGTATACTACCATCTGGTAGCCAAACAGGTGTATAAGAATCAAAGATTTTGATGTTATGCATTAATGAAATGTCAGTGCACATATGACCTGTAGCTCCTGTGTCTATTATCCATGAATTTCTACTAATATCAGATGCAATCCAAGAAGCAAGAGCATAAGAAGAACTACCTGCAAAATCATGGTAATGTGTCATATTCACTGAAATCCCTACTCCAGTATTGATGATCCCCTTTCCTTTACTGATATGTTCAACTTCCTTCTGCACTGCATTGTTAAACATTTGCTGATATGAGTCCTTACCCTCATCACCAAAATCCAATGGTGTAAGACTCACATTGCCATGATTATAAGTCTGTGTTTGTCCTTGCTGCCCATAAGATACCATCCCTCCAGTATTTCTAGCTGAAACTGTCTGTGTTGAGACAACTTTATTAACGCCTTGACTTATTGATGTTGCAATGGCTTGTGGATATTTAATCACGTTTGCTA